GCCCCTGCGCTCCCTCCGCCCGGGCCGAGGTCACCGCCCCGCCCCTGCCCTCTCCAGCCGCGTGGGGTCCCCTCGGCCCGCGGCGGGTCTCTGGAGCGGCCACCTGGCCGTGGGGCCCCGCGCCTGGCCGCCAGCTGGCCGCAGCGCAGGCGATGGCTGGGCACAGCCGGGCCGCTTGGCCGCCTGCCCTGGGTTACGAGGCGGCTCCCCCGCAGCACTGCAAGAGCCGGCTACTCCACACTCGGCTGCCGAGCGGAGCGGCGCGAGTGCGGGGGCCACCGATCCGCGCGCCTGGGGCCACCGAGCCGCCACTTCGCGGCGTGGGCTCGGAGTTCGGGGAAGCTGAGCAAGTGGCGCAACCACCGCCTCACCTCCTGCGAATACCGTGGGGCTTCTGATCTTGTTGATGTTGTGACTGGGCTGTGTGTATGTTTTCTCCTTCTTTTTTTTAACCACACACAAAAGAAGGGAGGAGTTATAGGAACGATCTAGCCACTATGAGTCATCCCACGTTTTGCTCTTTCCCTGGGAGAGCAAATGGATGGGGAGAATTTCTTGGGAAACAATTGTAGTAAGGACTGACTAGATCCCCTTCCTGCCCTCTTTCGCTGCAGTCCCGCCTGTGCCTGGTGCGTCCGGGACGGAGGAGGGTTAAAGTGACTGTCCGCGGACTGAAATGGGAGACTGGCTACAGCTAGCAAGCTGGAAACTTTTTCAGGACAGTGGGACTGTGAATGTCGAACCACACACATTATTGCTATAGGCAGCCATGGCCCTGGGGCATTACTGAACTTAAAAATGGGAAGCAGGTCACGACAGGACCATACCTTCCTTCAGTGGCATTTGGCTCTGCCCTGCACAGGACAGGATGGTGGAGATGGCTGGCTCCCCTGCCGTGAGGGGCTGGGACAGCAGCAGAGCCCGCCAGCTCAGGGTCTCCAGGCTCCTGCCAGGCCCACGGATTTTTGGTCGGAAGCGATCGTGCTTTTTAGTCTGATTTCCAGAGGCACTGTCACATCTCAGCATAGCAGCGGGCAGCCGGTTGTGTGGATGGATTGCTACTGATGAGGTAGAAAGGCCAGGCTGAGACCAACAGGCCCGTCCATGCGTGTGGAAAGATATCTTCAGTAGGTGGCTACTGCTAATTTTTCCAGGGTGAATCATTTAGTTTTGGTCTCACCATTCTGCTTATTGCAGTCCAGTCTGCTGTGTCAGCCATCACTGGGTCCTTGTAGCTCAATGACATTTGTTCTGGGAGGGTCCCTGCTGGAGGTCTTTTTGACCTTTGCACTGATGATTGTTTTAATAGCCTGAAAACTGAGGCTTGATATTCAAAGTTTGAGAGATTAGGGATGAAGGGACCTCTGCTTTGACCTCAGTTAAGCTACTATTGAAGCAATAGTTTGTTCTGACCTAGGAGTCAGGCAGTGGTCAGAGGCTGGCCTTTATTACAACAGGCTAGTGCACTGTACTTCCACTGAGGCCGCTGTGGGATGCCCTTCTTCTCACCCCACAAGGGGAACTTGTTTTCTAGCCATGGTAGAGGAGCAGAGGATCCCAGGCAGGGAGGGGATAAAACAATGTGGCCCAGTGCTGAAACAGGGGTCTATTCCCATGTCATGGCTTGGGTATAAAGAAGAGTTGGAGGGGCTGATCCCCCATCTCTGCCACCTCATATGGCCTATCTCAGATCATTGCAGAACAAAGGTCATTTATTACTGGAGGAAGAGGACTTAGAAGCAGGGTTGCTTTGTGTGGTTTTGCATTTTATGCAACAGAGAGATGCTTGGCTAAGGAAGCCATGTGCCCTGGGTCTGCGCAAAAGAAGGATGCCCCTTCTTCAGTGGCACCAGGAGCCATTTGCAGGAACAGACAATGGCAGCACGGGTGTTCCTAAGACAGGTGAGCAGGGATTAGGCACCAGGAGCTAATTTCCTCTAAAATTAGAGGAAAAATGAGAACTAATTATTTGCATATATTGCCTCGTTTAATCACTACAACATCCTGAAGAAAGTAGTGGTACCCTATTGTGTGGATGAGGAAATTGGTCCTCAGAAAGACTTAGTAGCTCAAGGTCATGCAGCCAGCAAGTCCAAAGTTACCTGTCTGCAGAGCCTTTGCTCTCAACTACTGGACTCTGAGAACTTTGCATGTATTTCTAACACATTATAGTTCTTTTTGCATTTGCTAGTAGAAGGCATTCTCTGAACTATTCTGCTATGTACATTAACAATAAGTCTCTTAAATGAAAAGGGCATTTATGGGTATTTTCAGTAGCACAAAAAAGCAGGGTCCTTGGAGACTAAAGGGGAAGGAGCCCCTTGAGATAGAGGAGTGGAGTAGTCATGGTAATAAGGAAAGAGCCAGCCAGAACTGAGATAGTATAGAGTGGAGCAGGTGGCAGGAGGGGTGGGGACAACCTGTGGATTCCCTGATGTCCCTGTAACAGAAGAGGAAAGTTTCATTCTAAGATTGAATCAACCATCATTTTGACTTCTCAAGAGTCTGGGCCTGGCCTCAGAGGGCACCAGACATGTTGGGTCTACACCCCCCTGGGCTGTTGCCTGACTATCAAAATGATTAGTCTGTTGGGGTGGATCTGCTGTACAGTGGCTACTTTAGGAGCACAAAGTATTTTTCCTGTCTCAGTGTTCCACTTGTAAGGCAATTTGAACCTCATGACCAACTTGTGTGAAGTCACATTCAAGTATTTGGGGCTAAACCAGAAAACATCAAAACCAGTTATGAGACCTTGGGTCAGCTCATGACTCTTATGTACATTTATAATTGTTATAAATTATTTTTTTTCCTTCACATTAATTTTCTAAAACAATTAGTTCCCATTATTGTCATATTTTAGAGGAAATTATCTCCTGGTGCCTAATCCCTGCTCACCTGTCTTAGGAACACCCATGTTGCCACTGTCTGTTCCTGCAAATAGGTTTACCAACAAGGGACCTGGTGCCATTGAAGAAGGGGCATCCTTGTTTAACTTTCTAAATGTTAACTTCACATTAAGTTTTCTAATAAGAACACTTATTCTGGCAGCGCCTATAGCTCAGTGGTTACGGCACCGGCCATATACACTGAGGCTTGCGGGGTTGAACCTGGCCCAGGCCAGGTAAAACAATAGTGACAATTGCAACAAAAAAAAATAGCCAGTTATTGTGGCAGGCACCTGAAGTCCCAGCTACTTGGGAGGCTGAGGCAAGAGAATCACTTAAGCCCAAGAGTTTGAGGTTGCTATGAGCTGTGATGCCGTGGTACTCTACCCCGGATGACATAGTGAGACTCCGTCTCAAAAAAAAAGAAGAACACTTATTCTTTCCATTTTAAGTCATATCTACCTAACTATTTAGTCTTTTAATTTGTACTGTTTTTTTTTAAGTAGCAGGAAATGTAAGCATAGTGACATGGTGGTCAGGCCTACATGGTGACTAGTATTGTGTTTGAGGTGTATTTGAGCAATGGTTTATCCTTTCATTGGAAAACCACACACACACACACACAGATAATGGTTGGAATGTTACCCCAGCACTTAGGGAGAGCATGTCTTACGTCAGTGAGGGAGTTGCAGAATCTTCCATCTCTAGATGGCAAATCTGGACCTCCTTGTGGGCCCTGGAAAGGGTCAGCATTACCACCCACGAAATGGTGTGTCCCATTGCCTGTTGGGTCTGTCTCCACCTTTACTCAGAAGCTTGTGGAAAAGATGCCTGTGACTTCAGATGGCCTATTAGGCTGACTTCTTATTGATTCTAATGAAGGGGGCTGGGACTGACTTCTATCTATCTCAGAGGAAAGGACGGGGCTGGGTCCCTTCATAGGGAAGACAAGAGCCTTGGCACCAATAAACCACATACAGTAAACCCCCGTTTAACATCATCATCGGTAGGTTCTTAGAAACTTCTACTGTAAACAAAATGATGTTTAATGAAACAGCTGTGTTTGGGGACCTCCTGTAGGCTGTTTCAAATAAAGTCACAGGTTTCAAGAATCTGTTGATGATGTTAATTGAGGACTTACTGTACCAAAGGGGATTTCCTAAAGAAAATCATTCCCTGTCTGTGTTTCGTCCTCCTGGAAGGAAGTGCCAGTGATAATTGCCAACCTCCACTAACCCTCCTAACACCCTGGCAGTGCTGGGAATTTCATTTGACTCTTGTGGGGGTTCTCTGAGGGAGGCACTATTGTCATGTCCATTTCACTGGTCGGGAAACAGGCCCAGAGAAGGTAAGTGATTTGTCCAAAGTTACCCAAGATTGGAACTAAGGAATCCAACCTACACATGATCCTAAGAAAGCATCCGCTGAGGGCGTGGTGGGATGGGGGGGGGGTGTAAAATGAAATGTGATTGGGTGGATTCCAAGGCGTTCTTACACTGTGCAGAGTGCCATAGGAAGTGGGCTCAGGGAGGATGGGACATGCAGACCACACACCTGACACAGGGCAAGGCTGGGACGCTGACATTCCTGGTCTTAACATTTTGTCCATTTGAAGGAAAGTTCAAAGTAAGTGTATATTGACTCTTTCACCAGTATTAAAAGTCATGTCCTCAGGTAGAACAGCCTCCTTTGGGATAAAGCTCAGCCCTTTCTGGGACAAGATCCTGCCCCAAAACAGTCATCTTTCTATCTGTCCTGTGCACGGAAACCACTAATCTGGCCATCAGTCCTTCAATCATGTGCCCTGCTCTATTAAACTCTTCTCTCCCAGGCATTCACCTCACTGGCCTGTGCACCTAAGTCCTGCACATAGAATTGGGATCTCGTTTTATACACACCCTCCCCAACACATACAACGTCCTAAAACCCAACAATGAGTATTGTTTTTTCTTGCTTTGGATGAGGTAAGATGGTATCTTCTTTCTTTTAAGTTTGGTTAACTGGTTCAAGGGTAAATAAAAATGATTTGTCTTAGGAGACTTATAAATATGGGATTTCATTGAATTAGTCGGCAGGCCAGCATCAGAAGCCTGAGGACATCTGATTGGACAGACCAGGTGGCAGGGCTCAGGCATCCGTGTGTGTCCCAGGTGACTTTCCTGCCCACCGGAGTTTAGAAACCGCAACTTAAAACTTTTTAATGATCATGTCCTATAAAATTGCAGCATAAATGACTACCTAGCTCTGATTTAAATAAAGTGAATATCTCCACTCTGGAAATACATGCACCAAAATGTCGATAGCTGTTTCTGTGGCTCTGTGTCTCCTGCAGATTTCTAACCAGCATAATGCTGGAGCCGGGGGCCGCCCACCTGCAGTTTTCAGAATGGCTGAGCTGGACACTGACTTGGATCACATCCTTCCATCTTCTGTTCTCGCGCCTTTCTGGGCCAAGTTAGTCGTGGGATTTGTTTCCCTCGTGTGTTTTGCACGGAGCTACGATGGAGATTTTGTCTTTGATGACTCTGAAGCTATTGTTAATAATAAGGTTTGTGTCTTTATACTCTTCTGGTAAACTTCTGTTGAACACTGGCCTGCACCTCAGTGATCACCTAAGTTTACGCCTCATTCTTTTCTGGGAAACTCAGGTCAGGCATTTGCCAAGGCCCCATTTGTGCTCTAGATTTTCCACCTTCCTGAGAGCAGAGCTCTCGTGCCCCTCCTATTTCTGGCAGCAAGGTCTCCAACCTTTGTATGAATTCATCTTTACCATCATGAGGCTCAGTCTGCACATGTATCAGAGATTACTAGGCAAGGAAGACTGCAGGGCATTGCAGACTAAGTATTTCAGGTTATGTGAATTTTTCCAGAACTGTTTTTTAAAAAATGATGCATTTGCTTCAGTGATGGGCAGGTCTGAGCACCTGCCAAAAGCTGCATTCTCAGCAGCACAGAGCAAGCTGGCCGTGGCTCTGTCCTTCACTGAGGGTGTCAGGACAGCCTGCTGCCAGCAGCTGGGCACGAGGAATGTACTACCCCTGGGTGCTGCACTCTGCTCATTTCATGTTTGGAGATTCAAATTTGCTGAACTTGGAAAATCCCAGTCAGATGTGCTCACCAGTGGCCAGCTACGGTATACTGGTGCAAGGAAAATGGTATTCCTTTTTGCTAACTAACTAGAGTTAGGGAAGAAGAAGTAGGTTTGTGGCAAGGGAAGGAAAAGATGCAAGCTAAAAGAAAACCAGAGCAAGATTTGGCCCCCGTAGCACAGTAGTTATGGTGCCAGCCATATGCACCCAGGGTGGCGGGTGCGATCCCGGCCTGGGCCAGCTAAACAATGACAACTGCAGCCAAAAATAGCTGAGCATTGTGGTGGGCACCTGTAGTCCCAGCTACTTGGGAGGCTTGAGAGAATCACTTAAGCCCAAGAATTTGAGGTTTCTGTGAGCTGTGATGCCATGGCACTCTACTGAGGGCAACATAGTGAGACTCTGTCTCAAAAAAAAAAAAAAAAGAAAGAAAATCAGAACGAGTAACTCAGAAGCAGGAAAAGCCCAGAGGAGAAACAGCCCTGCAATGGGCGCAAGTTAGAGCCTTCATGACACAGTCTAGCTCAGGGATGGGGAAACTTGTGGGTTTGAGGTCACACATGGCTTTCTAGGTCCTTACAGGTAGCCTTTTGACTGAATCCCAAGTTTACGAACAAATCTGTTTAATAAGGATTTGTAGTAATTCAACAGATATTTTGTGTCTGTTCCTTAATTTAGGAAGAGGACCTGGAGGAATATAAGAATCCAGCTCTAGTGGGTGTAACTGTAGCAATTCTTGGTAACAGTGTTGTTGGGTGAAGTCACAGGTGCCATGAGGAGGAGGTCATTTTCATATTGGAAATGTTGAGGAAAAACTCATATTCTAAAGGGGATGGAAAAAATGGCTGATCAGCAGGCATTTCGTTTGCAACATAATATTGATCTCCATTTTGGTGGCACAGAGTAGAACATTGTTAATGTTTATTTTAATTCAGGTTTTCCATTTGAAATTTTCTTCAGGGTCCCCCAGCAGTTACTGTAGATGATTCCATTTCAGTTCCTTTTCAAACTATGCCTAAAAGAACTAAGTTCTAAAGCAACTCTGTCAACTTGGTGGCGTAATACCCACAGAATTGCTTCTCTCTTTATTTTTTAAATCCCATTATTCATTTTGGTAAGTGTTTCTTGCCTCTTCTTCTTTTATGAAGTGGGAGATAGATATAAAGTGTTAATCTAGAACCTATGTTGAAAAATTTTGGCCGGACAGACAGAACAGAAACCCTGAGCCCTGTTGCCCTGTTGTGTGGGTGGCCCTGGCTGGGGTGTGACCCTCTGGCCTCCGTGCGAGGTGAGGCAGATGAAGCTGTTTTGTGGCTCTGCTGAGCTCTGCCTTGGCAGTGTCTTCTGGGGCATCACACTGTGCCCCTTTTGTTAACTTGCTGGCGCTCCCCGATTCCTTTCCTGTTAATGAAAGGCACTCCTCTGTTCACTGGCACCGTGCCCACCGTAATGGGGAGCAGGCTGCTACTGGATTGTAGTGATGTCAAAGACCGTTTTCCAGAGGCTGCCTTGGAGTGCGGAGTTGCCCTTTTTGTTCCACGAGATGTGATCCTCTTGGAGACAGTGGAGTGAGGAGGAATTTCAGACACAGTATATGTTTTCCATAAATCATTATAAGGAAAAATTGACCTTTCTTTCTGTAGCACACCCTGCTGTGTGTAGGCTCCACCTAATCAAATATTTAGAGTTGCTGGTGGTGTTCATTTCCTTTTTAAAGGGAGGGGAGGATCCCCCACCCCCACCCCTTCGCAGCTGAATGAATACTTTGGTGATGATGCAAAAGAAGTTAAGCTTCAAGTTTTGTCACCCGCCAGCTAAACTAGCAAGAGGCTTGCAGACACTCACCAAATAACCAGTTCCTGGGGAGGCAGGGTGGGCGGTGCACTCAAGACCTCTCTTGGATGTGAGAGGCCCCTTACTGTGGGAATCAGGCGACTGGCCTTGCACCTGTCCCCTCTGCTCAAGCATTTCCTGGGAGTCAGGAAGGTCTTCTGTAGCAAATACTGAAGTCCTCCTGTGACAGGGACAGTTGCTGTTCTTTGGGGCTATCCATCCTCTGACCCACTTTTTGTTTGGGATGTTCTTATTGCTCAAGACCATTTGATTAGGAAGCTGGCACCGACCTGGGCGCTTCTCTCAGGTGTGCCCACCTGTTGGAGCTAGTTATACAAAGAAAGAGTCAGGATGTCGCTGGCTAGTCTCTGAGGGGTTCAGTATGATTTGTGGTTGCGTGTGCTTCTGGCTGCTCAGCCCCATTCTGGTTTTCCACCCTACATGGTGAGTGTGTGAGTCTCACACTCGCCCTTCAAGTATTCATTTGCCTAAGTGAGTCAGAATTTGTTTAGTTACCACAATAAAGAATCTTGACTGATATTCTAAGCAATGATCAGTGCATCGTAATTCTAGTTCCTAAAACATCCCTGCTTAGTTATGCCTTAAAGAGAAAATTAATCGTCAGCTTTGTGACTTACTCTGCAGTGCCTTGTTTGCCTTTTTTCTTGTTAGACAAAGTTTAAGCCATCTAGTTTCACAATGTAAATGTAAAAAAAAAAAATGCACTTTTAAGTATCTGTAATACTTAATACCAAATTAGGTAATACAATACCAAATTAGGTTACCTCAACAGTAAGATACAGACAGTTTTTTCATGTGTAGTCATTTTTAGCTTTAAAAATTACATGATTTTTAGCTTAAAAAAATTTTTTTTTGTTTTTTCTAAATTGTACACTATGCTAAGCCCATAGATATGAGAGGTTAATAGTGATCTTATTTATCTATACAGTCATTCATTCATTCAACATGTATGAAGCACCTTCTGTGTATTCCCAGCAAATTCAGATGGGGCCCAGGCCTTGTAGAGCCCGCACCCAGCAGTGCAGATGGATAATGGTCATGGGATTACAAGTCCCAGTGTGCCACATGCTGGGGGACAGGGCCACAATGCCCCAGACCCACAGAAGGGGGATGGGATCAGCTCAGAAAGGGCAGAGCTCAGGGGTTGAGATATGAATGGTGGGAGGAGTTGAGTTGTAAAGAGTTGGCAGTGCCCGTTCAGGGGAGACCTGCAGAGCCTTTGGGATGGAGCTCACGGGAGCCATAGAGGGGACAATGTCAAGTTCATGGGAGCCAGAGCACCTCGGGCTGCGGCAGCCCCCTCAGAGGTGGGCTCTGTCACATGGGTGGGTGAGCCAATGTGTGGTTTGAAACAACCAGTACAGAGACCACATCTGAGGGTACAGCAACTGCACAGGCGTGGCCTCAGGGCGAGGTGACGCAGCTGGGCCCAGGCTGGCGGGAGAGGTGAGGGGGGCAGATTTAAGAGTACTGAGGAGCTCAGGAAGAGGCTCAGCGAGGGTGTCCGTCCAGGGCTGAGGGAGGAGTCCCGACTCCCTTGTCCAGAGTGTCCCTGGTGTGTCCCTGCAGGACCTCCAAGCAGAAACACCCCTTGGCGACCTGTGGCACCATGACTTCTGGGGCAGCAGACTGAGCAGCAACACCAGCCACAAGTCCTACCGGCCTCTCACCGTCCTGACTTTCAGGTAACTCATAACCACACAGGGCACTGGACATTGGCATGGTTTGTGCCTTGGGGTGCCGAGGGTTGGGGAGTCCCATCAGTGGCTCCGATGACATTGGCATGGTTTGTGCCTTGGGGTGCCG